TACAGTATATACTGATCAATATCATCCATAAAGATACAGTGTATACTGATCAATAATCTGTTGTTTCCTGTCTGCAGACGACCTCCTCTTCCTCCACTTCGACCCACAAACCCTCAGAAAGTCGACTCGTCTCCGCTTTAACCCCAGTGCATGATGGGAGTCGGTGTGCAGAGAGACGATGAAGATGATGATGACTTTATTATCCAGTTTGCACTTAGTCATCGGATTTCTCTCTCAACCCTCTCAGAACCTGTAAATAATGTTAATGTAAGTCCAGTGCCTTGCTCAGCAGCGCCGCGGCAGTGACAACCTTCCACTGCTGGAGATGATGTCCCATTAAAGTGTCTATAGCGCCCCCTGGAGCCAGCGGGGGGTTCAGTGCCTTGCTCGAGGTGGTCCAGGACTGCAGGACCCTGAGGAAGTTCCTCTGGAAGTTTGACATATTTTTTACGTTTCAAACTTTTTTTTTTAGCAAAACCCGAATGTAGAAGGATTCTGTTCACTGCAGTTCAGACAGACCGACTCAGTATTTATTAAACTGGACTCATGAGACTGGAAGACCAACAATCTGGGATTTAAAAAAGACTTGTCCCCGAAGGATTAAGGATTCATTCACAATGTGTTCGGGATAAAAAATCAAAAGATTTTGAGAATGAAGTTCAGAAGAAAGTTGTAATATTTGAAGAGTCCAAATATTAGAAAGTTACTTTACAACTTTATTCTGAAAACATAAAAGAAATTCCGACTAGTTCTACAACTAAAGATTATTTTCATTATTGATTCATCTGCAGATTATTTTCAGGATTATTTGTTTGGTCTATAACGTGTCCAAGGTGAAGTCTGTAAATGTTTTGTCAGATATTCAGAAAGAAATATTTCAGAGGCAAATCCCCACGAAACAGGAAGCAGAGTTCTGTGTGCTTCCTCATATTTACTGTTTCCTGTAAAAAGTTAGGGAGGAACTTGTCGTGGATACTGATTGGTGTTTACAGCAGCCAACAGCAGCTAGCACTATGAGCTAGCGTCAGCGTCTGCCTTCCATTGAACACAGCCGGACCCGGGACCGAACACCATCTTTGAGACCAACAGGGAATCCAGTACTGATTTGGGTTTGGCTGTGTCAGTTAGCTTAGCTGCTCGGCTGACTGAGCTAACAGTTAGCAGTTAGCTACTGATCAATCTTTCTATAAGGAAACTCTGTAAATGACTTCGGTACTGTAACGTTATTCCGTCGGTCCCGGAGGATGTGTTCGACTCTAAAATACCGACCTGAAAATACCTGAAACAGGACTTCCTGTCAGTGTTGGACAGATACACTGAAATATCAATTCTGACTTCATGGGGACTTTAACTGATTATCAGAATAGTTATTACATATTATTTTATACAATTATTTTTCTGTTGATTGATTAATGGCTGCAGCTCTGACTTTTGTCTCCAAATATGAAAACTTTATTTTTGAAATGTTACATTTTATCCAAATATTCTGACCTTTGTATTCATATTTCCTGTATTTATTCTTCAAATCTGAGAGTTTTTCTGCTGTTGGATCTTATTTTAACGTTTGTGGACGGTAGTAAAGGTTTGAGACCGATGTCTCACTCACTGACTGCTGGAATGAACCTCGAACCCAAACGTCCTGAAGACGAGAACCACGTTGGACTCAAAGTGAACTGTAAGCCTTACAAGGAGAACTGGTTCTGCCCCGGTCTGTCTCTGCTGGGAGAGGCTGTGCTGGATCAGGTTTTTATTTTTCTAACCCGCCTTGAGCTTTCTATCGTTGACAGTCAGGAATGTAACGAATGTTCGTGATGTTACACCAAAGACGGATGAATGATGTAACAGATCTGATCTGTGCTGCTGTTCAGTTTCTGGTTCCGACGTCAGCGCTTTCTAAAAACCCTGAAAGACGTCAAAGAGCTCAAATGTTCGACACGTCCTCGCACAGAACACAACGCTGTAGGTTTCCTCCTAGTGAGCATCAATGCATATCTAACAGACAGACGCTCTACGGGGAACCAAGCCCCTACATTTGGTGGCTTAAGTACATTTATTGGTTCCCCGAAGGTAAACACACATCCTGGAAAACCTGGAAATTTACAGACTAGTTGTTCAGGCATGGAAACACTTGGAATTTGATTAAAATGACAAGATATCCTGGAAATAATGTGTGTTGTCCTGGAACATTTTAATTTCATCCTGTGCTGTGGACAAATACTTTTTCACAGCAGCCATTTTGACATCGTGTAAACACCAATTAAGGTTCAGTTCCATTCAGGTCAAACAGAGGGAGGGGTCATGTTGTGCTCACTGGAAAGGCTCTGCTACACTAAATGGAACAGAGCCTTACTTAGTATCAATGGTAACATCTGTGTTTACCCTACTATTCTATGTCAAAACAGCTGCTGTGAAAAAGGTCTATTCAGCAAAGTGCAAGCATCTGTGAGATCAGCCAAGCGAGTTTGTGGAGGTTTAGGCATAAAAATGACGCGATTAGCTTTAGGAAAAGGTCGTAAGTTACGTAACATACTTGTCTCCTGTTTTCAAACTCTGTGTTTGTTTGAGTCCAGAAAGTAAAAGTGACACCTACAGCGTTATATTTTGAAGCCACTGAGCGACGTAAGTGTGAACGTTACTAAAACCATCGTACTTTGACCTAATCTTCCAGTGGTGTGTTCACACCAACATTTTTGCCTCTTTAAGCTCCAAATTGGAAACTTCTGATTTGTTCTTTCAAACTGTCTTGTGTGAAAGCCGGAAAAATCGTCAGAGATTGCCCCGCCCACAGGAAGCGATGTCACTACTCCTGTTGTGAAAAGCCTGAAAGCCACAAACTGGCCTCAACAGAACTGAATGTTTTCACCAGACGATCCTTAAAGAGTCCGAGCAAACACGTCTGATCATCCAAGCTGATTGGTTGATTGGTTGACGTGCTGTTAGCGTCCCGCTGTGTTCACAGGTTTGCTGCTAGGGGAAATATCCTTAATAAAACCGACTGTTTCTACATTTTCTGTGTCATTTGTTCAGCTCATTTACAAGTTGGGTTAAAATATGTTAATTCTCTTTATCATCAGCGCTGTTATTTAATATAATTACTCTGAAGTCATTGCTACTTAAATTTATGGGATACATGGCTCTAGAGCGTGACTCTCATGTCATGCCTGGCTATCAGTGCTGTAAGAGGACCTGGGTTGTTCCTTATTTTCCTTTCTATTAAAGTGGCTGAGTAATAGGTCTCTGGCATTACGAGGGGGCCTTTTCTTATAGGTTTTAAGATTATTTTAGCCAAAATTGAGCGATAATTCCTAAATCATTTGAAAGACGCCATTTCCTTTCCGAATTTCCTTGTATTACTGCTTTAATTGGCGATGTTTAGGTGGTTTTACCAATTTTATTTAATATTATTATATTATATCATGTTCATGTTATTTATTATTAATTAAATTATTATAGCTATAAGCAGCTGTCGGATAGACATTCTGCTGTAGGAAGTTTTTGCCTAATGGCTTGGTAAATCTAATTAATAGAATTCAAAAGTTCAGTTAAATAAGGAACAGATAGGAAAGGATTATGTGGGAAGACTATTAAATGTTCAATATCATATGACTATATATAAGGAACTGCAGGTCAGAAAGTGTCGATTAAGCATTGAGTTAGTTTTTAATTTACACTCTGACAGAAGCCAATTGAGTCTATTAATGAGATAAATGCAATTACTAAGCTGTCATATGATAACATCCCACATAAATTTCTCTCCTAATCTACACCAGGTTTCACAAAAAGGCTGCCTAGTTATCTATTGAACCCACATTGTTATTCTGGACATCCACCATCTGACAAGCAGCGGCTGGAATGTCACATGGCGGCTATAACGTCATACGACTGGTCAAATTGTCACGGTGGCCGACAAGGGCAAACCGCAGACGCAAAGGCAAAATCAGCGAAACAGATGGAATTGATGACAAAAACCAAATAATAAAATGTACTCATAAAACGCGCAACAGAATAAAAATGCTGCATCACAAGAAATGAAGCAAAAGCAAAAACTTACAAACTATCCACAAATACACTGCAAGAGAGAAAGTGGTGCAGCCAGGACCAGATAAGGGTGGAACCCGAGCCTCTGAAGGAATGGACCGGTCCTAATGGGATTCTTTGTGTTTGCAGCCGTTTGCAGGCACGTTTGCCTATGATCGGCTACCGGTAGAGATTGGAACAGGATTCCAGAGTAAAGTCCAGACATTTTGTTTTTTAGCATAATCTACACACCGATCCAGATTATGTTTTGACCTCCCAATTAGTCATTACCTTATTACCGACGATGAATCAATATTGTATTATATTATATATGTTATCTTTAGCCAGAAGTTTTAAATATGATTTCTAATATATGGCCGGTTCATGCCCCCCAGGTAGATCATTTTTAACTGATGAGTCTGCAATAACCACAGTCTGTGGTTTGCTCTCTTGATGTCTCTGAGTGGGGGACAATTCTGTATGGGACACATGAATCCTGTTGGTGAACTGTGGCTTCTGCTTCCCAGAACCACAGGGGGACGGCTAGCAGAAGCTTCACTGGGTCGGCCCGCACAGTTGTTTGTTGGTGTGCCAGTGGGTGAAATGTGAAACCAGAGTATAGGAGGATGTGAAACAGGATGAAGTGAATCAGAGCAATATGTGAAACTGCTCTAACTGGCTTTCAGAGAAACTAACAGTCACTTCTTCTTCTCCTCTGACAGCTGATGACTTCCTGCGGATTTCATGTCACTGAACGCATCATGCAGCATTTATCTGATGGTAATGCTCAGAGATGCTTTCAGCCCTCCTCCTCCTCCTCCCCTCTGACCTCCGACCGCTGTAAAGAGGAAGCTGTGGCGAGTTCTTTCGGCGCTGAGTGTCAGAGGAGGAACACGTCTCAGTCTTTATCCTCCATCATGGCTCCATCAGTCGCCCTCCTCCTCGTCCTCCTGAGCTCCGCGGGCTCGCTGCCTCCTCCTCGAACCTCCTTCCTCCTCAGTAAGACATTTGGGATCAATAATCAATCAGTATCATGTATTCTGCTTTGTATGTGTTTGTGTGACTGGAGGATGATTATTAATATGATTATTAATTTACAGTGCCTGTCACAGTGGTGTTGAGATAATGTTAAGTCAGACTATTTATTGTTCTTATCGGGGGCTGAGATTAATGATTATTGTCAGCATTGATACTTGTTTCATCCATAAATTGACAGAAAATAACAAAAATGTTTACCAGAAGAAGTTGGAACAAGTGAATTTATGACTTTATTTATTCAATTATCTGATTATCTGATTATCAGATATCTGTTGATCAATTTATGGATGAATCAAATCAAATGTGGGTTTGTATTATTATTATATGTGAACAATCAATATGACAGACTATGTTTACCTCATACGAGTTGATTTCCTCTGTAGTGAGTCGGTGTTGCGACACGTGTAGGTCACATGATTAAGACTTAGATAAAAACTTAAGATACAAACAGGAAATTATGCAACCCCCCCCCCCCCC